TCCTGGAGACCCGGGGTCGAATCCCACGTCGGGCTCCCAGTACATGGAGCCTGCTTCTCCCTCTGCCTGTGTCTCTGCCTCTCTCTCTCTCTCTGTGGCTATCATAAATAAATTTAAAAAAAAAAAAAAGTTTAAAAAAATATTTAAAAAAAAAAAAAAAAAAACACAGCTTAGGTACATAGCTCTCTGATTATCTGCCTTCATCCAAAAATAAAATCTAGGATATTTAGAGGAGGCAGGCAGACCTTCATGCACAATTATTTGGATAATTATATAGGTTGCCAGACTTGGCAATCAGTAAAAGATGCTGAATCATGGATTGGCTCTTTGATCAATCTATAGTTACCTTCTAATTAATAATACAATCCTTCTGCGTCTTTTTATCTTTTTCTTTCTTCTTCCTTTTTTTTTTAAGATTTTTATTTATTTGAGAGAGAGAGAGAGCAAGAGAGAGAGTAAAAGGAGGATGAGGGGCTGAGCAGAGAGTCTGACATGGGGCTCAATCCCAGGACTCCGGGATCATGACCTGAGCTGAAAGCAGACACTTAACTGACAGCCACCCAGGCACCACTCTTTCTTCTTCTTTTTAAATGTCCAGCTTAGAGCTTGTGGTTTAAATAAGCCTGACAATAGAATGGAAGAGGTAGCATTGCTTTCTACTGTGATGTGGGTGTCATGTTCACCAGCATTGGCAGGAGGAAGAAAAACAGAAGCCACAGATAGCACTTTAAGACTAAACCTCTACTGGAACAACGGAATGTTAGGCAGATGTATTTATAACAGAATAAACAACAAACTCAGAATAATCTACCCAAATGGCAAATCTCAGTATAAATTATCACCATGATCATTTTTTCCTTCAATTAACTTTTAATAAATGCCTGGTCTGTGCCAGATAGTCTGCTAGGGAGTTCTGAAATGCTTCAAAGTTGATGTTAGTCATTTGTTTTCTCAAAATATTGTTATGGTTCTTGGGTTTGAATCCAAATCTATGCCCAGTAGGCTTTCAGTTACTCAGTTAGAATGAAGCATTTTTATTCTTTTGGGTATCTCAAAATTCTAGAAGATGCCCTGCTTTCTGAGGATAGAGAGAGAGGCCTCACAAACTGATGCACTCAAAACTCCCCTAGTTCTGTAATTCCTTTTATTCCCAAATCTGTCATTTCCTTCTCAACTGCTTTTGGTGAATCACGCTGCTGCTAGAGTAGCTGTGTCTAATTATGGCCCTTAGAAGCACAGAGCATAGAAATGGAAAGTAAAGCGCTCTGAAATTTAGAGGAATGGTGGTTTTTCCAACCCATTGATTAACCCCATGCTATAAGTAGTGCCTGGAATGCTAATTGTTCATAATTTCCACCTTAATGTAAATGATAATTAAAATTACCTTGCCTTAAAAAAAAGGGCATGATATTCCTGATTCACATGTGCTTAACTAATTCTCAACCTAGTAAAATGAATTGGTAATTTCAGTCCTATCTAGGTAACTTAGAATCCTTACCATAGGGGATCCCTGGGTGGCTCAGCGGTTTAGCACCTGCCTTTGGCCCAGGGCGCGATCCTGGAGTCCCGGGATCAAGTCCCACGTCGGGCTCCTGGCATGGAGCCTGCTTCTCCCTCCTCCTGTGTCTCTGCCTCTCTCTCTCTCTCTCTCTCTCTCTCTCTCTCTCTCTCTGTCTATCATAAATAAATAAATCTTTTTTTTTATAATTTTTATTTTATTTAATTTATGATAGGCACACACAGAGAGAGAGGCAGAGACACAGGCAGAGGGAGAAGCAGGCTCCATGCACCAGGAGCCTGACGTGGGATTCGATCCGGCGTCTCCAGGATCGCGCCCTGAGCCAAAGGCAGGCGCTAAACCGCTGCGCCACCCAGGGATCCCATAAATAAATCTTTAAAAAAAAAAAAGAATCCTTACCATGTAAATTGAAGTCTTCATTGTTGTTAGGGAAAGCGATGAAAGTTAAATAGGTCACTTTATACTGAGAGAAACTTTGTGAAGAGACCCGCCCCCCCTTTTTTTTTTAAGATTGTATTTATTTATTCACGAGAGACATACAGAGAGAAGCAGAAACATAGCCAGAGGGAGAAGCATGCTCCCCACAGGGAGCCCCATGTAGGACTCCATCCCAGGACCCTGGGATCATGCCCTGAGCCAAAGGCAGACGCTCAACCACTAAGTCAGCCAGGTGCCCTTGGAGAGACCTTTATAAGGTAGTTCTGCTGTTGTTCCTTTGTCCATGTTCTGAAAAATGGGTAAATCTGGAAAAGAACTTTCCTGCACTTGTGAAAATTACACACATAGCAGATACTTAAAATGACTCCAGTGCCTTCAGTACTGAATTGCCTGCCAGATTCTAAGTATCCAAGAGTGAGAGCTCTACTTGTTTCTGTATCCATTACACAGTAACTTTGTTTTGCTGGAAGTTATTCTGTTAAGCCATGAATCATGGATATCAGCTGTTATGCTCTATCACATTAGGGAGCAGAGACTGGTTTAGGTATCTTTTATTGATGGGCTCTTTTGTAAGAATATTCAGGAAAGTAAGGAAGACAGGAAATAGTCTGAACCATTATACATCCAGACTTCGTGGCAGTCTGGAATAGCATTCAGGACATTACAGAAGTTCAGTCAGTGTCAGTTGTCTATTTTTATTTACCATTTTGTCTCCAGCACCCATGATTGTCACATAGTATGCACTTAAATATTAATGAATAAATTTCAGATACTAAGCTCTACAGTATCTATCAGCTCTCTTTCTCCTGTATTTCCAACTAATTATCAGCAACACATCTTCTATTTACTTACAGCCTTTTCTGCATCTAGGTCTCTGCTCATTCACTTCCCTCTGTATATCTTTTCCATGCTATTGCTTTGTGTGTGGATTGTGTATCTCCCAAAGAGAGAAGTTCTGATTGGATGGACAGGTCACTATCCGGTATAGAGCACTCTCTTAGAGCATAGTAATCAGGTGCTATAGGTACCTTTGGTCAGGGGGCTAGCCCTGGTCCAGTTATCGTGGTCACTAGCAAGGTCACAGTGTATGGTCTTGTTCATAAGAGGAATGTAGATGGCAGACACTTAGACTATCATTCCAGGGTACTAAATTAGAGTCTGACTGGTATTCAGTCATGTTCCAGGTCAGGTTCTAAGCAGTCGGAAAGTACCACATCAAGCTATTTCATTGCTGCATTCCCAGAACTTGGCACAGAGCTTGGCGCGTGGGAGGCAATGGCTGGGTGAAGCCTGATGAAGGAGGACATTCTTTGATCTTAGATGTATCAGGGGTCTAATGGGAAAGGTTAAAGTATAAGGCAAATGTACTTACATAGTTTTTATCCTGTAAGTGAATCATTGTAGCCAGTGGTAAGAAACATAAAGCTGCTAAGGAGAGAAAGCTCAAATCCAGAAAGGCTCCATCCTACTTCACTTTCGCATGTGTTTGAAAGTAGTGAGTATTGGAGACCCTCTCATTAGTAAGTGGATTCTGTCATTGCAGTGGGACAGTTGCTTTAAGGCTGCAAATCCCAGAGCCCTTCTTTCTCTTGTAGAATTGTCATCAGCCTAAAAGTCTTGGTAGCAACCCTTTAGAAGAGGAATATCATGGGATTTGGATTTATAGAAAGAGCTGCAACATATTGGCATGTTTAAACTGAACTAGAAATGTAATTGGGAAATATTCCAGGTTTGAAAAACAAAAGCCTTCTCATGGATAACGTTTCTTGATTTCTGCCTCCCTCTTTATAGTGTCAGACTCAGTCGCCGCCACCGCCACCAACGACACGGGTAGATTCTTTCTCATTGCCAGGTACTTTTGGTTCAACATAAGACTTAGGATTAAAAAAAAAAAAAAAAAGACTTAGGATTAAGTGCGAGTTTTGCTTGACACTATTTTGGAGGCCTAGCTAACGTTCTTTGTTGTTGCACATTTGGGTCTTATCATTTGATTACTGTAGTGGTACCAGGTCCCTGCCACTCTTTTTTGCACATTAGGGCTTCAGTAAATGCTGATTTGAATTACTGATGTGAAATAACAAGGCCATTGTTGCAGGTTGTTTAACCTCATGTACTTTCATTGTCACAGATATCACCCTGAAACTGGAAAAACTATCTAATAAATGTTTCCCATCTTCATAGGGAAGAATTCCCTATTCCCACTTGAATGGGGAAAGAAAAATGGAAGTAATATGGTGCAGTCACACAGATGCATAACTATAACTGGGAAATCAGGCCATGGCTTTTCTCTATAATAGTAAAGATAGGATGCTGTGTTGTTTGAGTGTAGGTGTTAGAACCACACAAACTTGGGTGAAAACCCTGGCTCTGCCACATAACAGTGTGACTTTAGACAAGTTACTTAAACATAGCTAGGCCTTACTGCCCCATCTGTAAGATGGAGGAAACAATAGTTCCTATTCATGAGGAATAGTAGTAGGATTTAAATGTGATAATGCATTGGAAGTCCTTGCTGCAGGGGATGGCACAAAACTCCCAGTTGCTTTCGCTGGGTTTGTTATTATTGCTGTTATTTGTTGTTTTGAAAAATGTAATTCTTTTCAACAATGTTAGATGGTATCAGATAATACAACATAGGGTTAGTCTTTTTTTTTGCTGGGAACAGAAACAGAAAACTTTTTTAAAGTAATGTAATTTTACACACCAATGATTAGGGGAGGAAGAGATATGGTTTATGTCTTTGTAATATACAAGATGCAAAGGCAAGCTGACAGGTTCTTTTTCTCTATACAGAGGCTAAGAAGAGCATCTCAATCTATAAGTGCAAGATCTTTTATGCTAAATGGTTTCTGGAATTCATTAAAATATATTTAGAGATGTATTTGGTAGATCACACATGCAAAGAACTATCTTTTTGTAGTGGGATTTCTGGTGAAACTTTTACAAAAGTTTACAAATATGAGTATGAGAAATTCCTGATAAATTGAACTGATGTCTGAGAGGCATTGACACATTCTTTCATGTCTCCCTTGTGGTCATGTAGGTGAGACAGGCATCGGCAAATCCACGTTAATGGACACTTTATTCAACACGAAATTTGAAAGTGACCCAGCTACTCACAATGAACCAGGTGTCCGGTTAAAAGCCAGAAGTTATGAGCTTCAGGAAAGCAATGTACGGCTGAAGTTAACCATCGTTGACACTGTGGGATTTGGAGACCAGATAAATAAAGATGACAGGTACATGTTGGGATTTCATGGGGATGTAAATCGATCAGGAGATAGCAGGTTCTGTCCTGGGTAAATTCAAAGGTTAAATTGTTCACTAGTTATGGGGCTGGTCTTCTGTTGCCTAGAAGATAAGACATTCTTATTCTCTGAGAAATGTTCTTAGAATGTTCTTCTTTGAGGTCAGAACCAGACATCATAGTTGATTCCAGCTAGGGTAAGGAAAAAAAGGGATTTCTTAGAAGGAATAAGTTGGCTTATGGCATTTTTCCAGGACGGTCATAGAACTGGATTGGGGGGCTTTCCTAACAGGAAAAGCAATCTAGAGAAACACCCAACAACTCTACAGGATAGTTGGCAGAAGCCCCTACCACCAGTCACCTTATATAACTTGGTACCTGTGACACTGGGGGCTAGGGGGACATCCCTAGAACCTCTACCACTTTTCTCCCAAATAACCAAATGCCTTTAGCATCACTTGCAAGGAGAACAAGTGTGGCCTGTGTGTAGCCTCTGCTATGTGTTGGCCATTCCCTGCTTCCTTGTCCCGTATGGCTGCATCTGCTTGATAGAAACTAAACCACATCTAGAATACTAGCTGCAAGAATCTGGGAAATGTGGTTTTTGTTTTGTTTTTTTGCAACTCTGCAAAATAAGAAAGGAATTTGGGATGAGCATCTGCCACGCAGATGGCAGATTGGGATATTTGACTTAATCCCCAAATTCTTACAGATTTGAATGAAAGCTGAGAGGTGATAAGGAATCTCCCATAAGAAGCCTCACCCCAGGATTTAGGAGACCTGGGTTATAGCCTGGATTCCAATGACAAGCTATTGGATGTGGCACTTTACCTCACTTTAAGGGGATGTCACTAGACGTTATCTGAGGTCTCTTCCAGTGTGTGATACTGTGTACAGCCCTATTCTTAGAGGCCTTGAGAAGGACACTGTGAAAGGCAAGGCCTGGAAAAGGGGTGTGGTCATGAGGGAGGGTCATCCTGGATTTTAAAGTCTTTGGTCAAAGTGGTATTAGCTCCTAAAAACTTCAAAGTGAAGAAGACATTTCTATGGAAGATCTGTTGGAAAAATCTTGATTTCCAGCTGGGACCGGATCTTGCTGTGGATGTTAGTGTTTGGTGTGAGGCATTTTGAGTCCCTTTGTGAAGTGTCTGGGTCTTCCTCTAGGCCACTGGTAGTGGAGTGGGCAGCACACTGGGTGCAGAATTGCCAAATTGAGTCTGAATGATGGTGGTTTCTTCAGTTAGGAAACCTAATAAGGATTTAGGTCAACTGGATTGAACTTTCCCTCTCTATCCAGTAGGGTTTGTTAAACTAATGAAGTAATATACACAATAAACTAGCTATGTGGAAGAAAGAACATGTTTAACCTGCTTAAGAAATAAAACAATTTCTAAGAAGTTTGTTCCAGCAGTTTGTATGTAGATAGAGGCTACTACCTGTAAGTCAGTCTAATATATTCATTCATTAAATAAACCGGTTTGGTTTACAGGGACACCTGGGTGGCTCAGTGGTTGAGCGTCTGCCTTCAGCTCAGGGTGTGACCCTTGGGTCCTGGGATCGAGTCCTATGTCGGGCTTCCTGCATGGAGCCTGCTTCTCCCTCTGCCTGTGTTTCTGCCTCTCTCTCTATGTGTCTCTCATGAATAAATAAATAAATCTTTAAAATACATACATACATACCGGTTCACATAAACTGGAAGATATAAAATACAGTAGGTTTCATTTTTATAAAACACATACTCAATTTATAAAACCAAGTAGGTTTGGCTCTTGTGTCTATGAGTTGCAGGATGCCTTTATTTGAGGAAGCTGTTAATCTTAAAATTTCCTGGTGTTCAATCCATATGTTAACCTCAGTCCCAAAATACTGTTCACATTCCTTCTTGAGATCACCTATCCTATTCATCTTTCTTAACATCAAATATTTTATGACTACTTTAAAAATTGCATTCATTTTCAAAAGAACTTAGAGAAATTTAAATTGTCCCAGGTCCAAAGATTATTCTAGAAGGGGGCTTCCAGAGACATTTTTGTGCAGTGACAACATTATGGGAATAAAACACCAAATCAGTAAGTTGTGTCTGCTTAGGGCTCAGCAATTTTGTTGGTACCAGGGTTTTTTCTTTCTATTTAAACATTTTTTTTCCTCAAAACTGTTATAAAGAGGAACTTGAACTATTTTTATCTAGAATGTATATTGCCTAGAGATATTTAAACTATCCTGATATATATATATATATATATACCATAGTAATTAGGAAGAAATATTTAATTCATCCTCTAGCTGAGCACTGAGCTCCATTTTATCTATAGAGCAATTTAAATGCTCTTCAATAAACATTGTCCTGTAATAACAGGAGCAATTGTTAGATGTAGTGAAAAGGATTTTATTTCACATCTGGTCAAAATGAACTATCTGTACATTGTGCAGGGTGGGGCCAACTAAGCTCAGACTCTGCAGCTGGGCTTTTGCTCTTAATTTACCTCAATACCAAGGAATGATGGAGAGGTTACTGCCTGAAGGCTGTTTGTGATGCCAAGTGAAAGAGATGAAGGAAAGCCTTGGCCCAATAATCAGCACAGATGCCTCATGGGAGCTGGGGGTCAAGGGGAGAGCCATGGGTTCCCTGTCATTGGGCAGTCAGAGTAAGACATATCTCCATCTCTCTGACCCGCCTGGGGTTGGAGGATGTCCTGCTTGTGCATTCCCTGATTGGAAGGCATTAACTGCACCTTTTCAGGATCCTTTCATGCAGGAATGAGAGAACCATCTTCCAGTATTTTTCTGGTAAGATTCCATGTGCTCTTCCCACCGAGAGTCGTTGCCTTGGTACTGCCACTGAATTGCTTCTCCCCAGATAGGGATTGTTCTTCAGCCTGGTGGTTTTCACTGGCCACCACTGAACAGCAAGTGGCTACTACAATACCAATTCTCATATTTGCAGTTGGAGGTCTCTTTAAGAAATTATCTGACTCATTTGGGTCAAATAATAGTTTCCAAGGAGATTCAGAAGAGAGGAAGTGTGATATTAACCTAACCTAGATACCAAATTTTTTTTTTCTTCTGAAATTTCTTGACAGCTGTTGCATAACCTCTTTAAATGGCATTTAGAACTCTGTGCCCCAGAAGGTATTGTTGACACTGTGACTCTAAACCCAAATGAATATTGTTTCAAAAATTTTTTTTGGACTCTTCGCTTCCATCAAAGAATTGGAAGTGAGCTATGCATTTTTGCATTGATACGTAACCATATGGGAAGCAATATGCTTTTTCTCTAAACCCATGATTATTTTTTACTGCCTTGGGGACGAGGCAAGCTTTTCTGCCATGAATACAGGACTTCAAGAATGTCCTGCCTTGTTTATGTAAGCTTCAGTCATGTCAGCATTCCTGCATGAGTATCTGCCTGGGACTGGGCTAGCTAGAAGGAGGCAGGAAGAGCGATCTGGTGAGATTTCCTGTTATGTTTAATAGCATGATTAACTCTTCGTGGTTTAAGGGCTCCTTTGTTTTGCTGTCTGTACTCTTCAGTGAAGAAGGGAAGGGGTGTGGAGAAGAAAGTAAATCAAGTCTGTCATAGAACTGGAAATAGAATGATTGATTTGCCCCACATTTGGGGGATGGGAGATAGAATGTCAATGGTGTATCACTAACTGTAATGATAGTCAGCCCTGAAAAGCATAAATAATTGAAATCCTCAAAGTCCCCAAATCTTTATATCAGAGTTATAAAATGGTAGTGAAGTGGACCATTTGGTCTTTAATTTCTGTTTTACTGTGCTTTCTGATGGAGGGAGTTGAAAGATAAGGAAAACTAATGTTGACTTGCAGCAAGATAGAGAAAAATAAATGGTAGGTATCTGGTCATATATGAAATGGAGAGTTGGTCCCTGAACAATGGCACTGATTCTTTTGCAATGAGCAGTACGTATCTGGGGTGGATAGAAAAGACTGTATAAATCATTTTTTCCCTCAGTTTCAGGGTCAACCTCTGTATTTTATTGTGAATTCTGTGGCTGAAGGTATATGAAAAAAAATGAGTTGTGGGTAAAAAGGACTATCCCCATGCCTTAAAAGGAAATGATGTGACAATATAAGGAGTAGGTTTGATTTGCCCTCCTTCACTTTCCTCTGCTGGGTATGACTGCAATCCAGAGAAGTTGGAATTGGCCAAACAGAAAATAAATGGGTATCCTTTCCCTAAGAATGGAAACTAGCAAAAGGCAAAATTGGGATTAAACTCCCTTATCTTTATGACCATGAATGTAGATAAGAAGTACAAAGGAGTAGGAGAAGAGGTGCAGATCCTTTGTTTAAAGGATTATGAGGGGAATACAAAACTACTGGCTGACTTCAACACAAGGAATAGTGATTTTTGGTAAATGGTTCTCCTGGAATGCATTTCTTTAAATTTGTTTATAACAATTAGAAGGTAAAATTGGTGGAACTTCATGCTTGATTAGTTGGGGGGGAGTAGAAGAGGAGGTCCCTGGATATGTGGATGGAGGTGCCATTCACCGAGCAAAGGAATGAAGGGAAGTGTGGGTTTGGGGGCAAGATGAGGAAGTCTGATCTTGGACACATTTAGTTAGAAGAGCCAATGGAGATACCTCATAAGCAGTTGGATGAATGGGGCTGAAGCTTGGGTGAAAGATCTGGGCTACAAACAGAGATTTATGAATTATCATTACTTAGATAGTAAGTAAACACAGAAATAGATGTGATTTTTCAGGGTAATCACATAAAGGGAAAAGAACGAGATTGGAATATTAGCCAGAACTGCCTGACAGGGGAAGGCAGAAAGAAGCCCTAGATGTCAGTGGAGAACAGAAGGTTTCTTTGGATATATTGAATCCAGGGCAGAAAGCATTCCTGACTGGAAAAGGAGAGATATAATGCCTCCCATAATCTTGGAGGATCAGAATCCCTCAACACCAGAGGCAAGAGGGAAATTAATAGAAAGCAGAAACGTACTTGTTACCCTGCTGGGGAGGAGGTGCTGAGAAGCTAAAAATCAGGAACTGGTGTGGCAGGAAGGAGCAAGAGCTTGTGAGCTGCTTTTCCTTTCCTTTCCTAAGAGGGTTTTAGAGAAAGATCATGGTTCCCCAAACACGTGCCTCTGTGTCAGGAGACTGAAAAATTCAGGCCTTGGACTAGCCTGGGTGGACCTCAGGGGACTGGCCTGGTTCTCTTCCCTACAGAGCACAAGCTCAGTAGCAGAATAGTTACCATGGAATCTGGCGACTGTAGGGTTCCTCCCACACCCCTTGTCTAAAAAGTCAGGCTTGCTTTGCTCTTATTTGTTGTGAATTATTTTCTACTATATTATTGTGACATAGTTATATCTTACTTTTATATGCTAGTCCTTTACATATATTGGCTTGTCACAATACTTCTCTGCTATAGGTACTTTTTTGTCTTTGATTTACCTATGAGGAAATTGAGACACAGAGAGGTTAGTAAATTGCTCAAAGTCACATATGTAGTAAATTGTGAAGTTGGAGTTGGTTTGGCTTGAATCCAGGCCTCTAAGAGCACTATCCTATGATAATATTGGTTATTTGTACTGTTATGTAATACCTGCCTGTGTTTTTGTGTGTGTTTTTTTTTAAGATTTTATTTCATTCTTTATTAGAGAGAGAGAGAAGCAGGGGGAGGGGCAGAGGGAGAGGGAGAAGCAGACTTCTCACTGAGCAGGGAGCCCGACCTGGGGCTCCATCCCAGGACCCTGGGATCATGACCTGAGCCGAAGGCAGCCGCTTAACTGACTGAGCCACCCAGGCACCTCCCTGCCTGTGTTTTAAAGTGGAGAACGTAGAAGAAACTTACCACTTGTTCATTCTATTAGAATATATTGGGGTTTCTGTTGTCATATTTAGAACTATATTATTACTGAGGAATATCCTTTTTCTTTAAACCACTAGAGATTTTGTCTGGTCAAATTGAATCAGTGTATTGTGATGAATCACCAAGGAAAAATACCAAATTTTTTCTGAGTGCTTTCAGTTTTTGATTATAAATGTGTTTTTTGTTTTGCTTGTTTGTTTTTTCTCTTAGGGTGTCTGCTGTCATCCACATTATCAAAGACTTATAGTTCCTTTCAAGGATTTCAGTTTAATATGAATCAGGGGAGTTGAATGTTGAAGGGTTTTCATTTTTCTTAAAGCCTAAGTCATTCCTCAGCAAGGTAGTAAGTTTGGGGAGAAGTAACCCATTGTGTTCCTAGTAGACCAATCTCATTGCAGCTAACACTGCCTTCTGAGCAGTCCCCTAGAGACCTCAAAGCTTATAGCTTTTCCACAATGACTTACTTCATGTTTTGCTGAGTCCCTGGAGAATATATGGTTTATCAAATGCATGTTCCTGATATGTTATTCATGATTATGGTCAGTTAACAGAATACTGACCATAGATTTGAATTCTGGTTTGGTGAGAAGAAAGGGTTATAGAGTTTACCTTCAAATTATAAAATTTCAGGGTTGGAAGTATTCCTGAAGCTCATAATCTCCCAGGCTCCTCAGTTCGTAGATGAAGCTGTAGAAGGAGCATAGGGCTAAGAGGCTAAGTAAGAGCATAGAGAGTTGCCTCATCCCTGGTGGAAGGAGGCAAACCATCAGTGGAAACCTCCCACTAGGGTGATGCTATTGCCAGAAATCAAAACCCACTTGCTTTTTGTGCACCAAAACCAATCTGCTGGTAGAGGTAGAGGCTGTCAAAATCACTTTATTGAGACAGATTTTGAGACTGATTTGGCCCAGCAGGAAAGAATGCCACAATCTCTTAGCAGGATCTTCCGTGGGAAGTGACAGCATAGTTCACATATTTATAATCTCTGTTTTAAAGGATGAATGTTAGCCAGGAGAATACTAGGAAGAAGACTGTTCCAAGTAAGGGGGCTAGCATGAGCAAAGATGTAGAGACAGATGAGAGCTTAGGGTGTGTGTGACTGGGACAGAAATGGTGAGCCAGGGAGGGAGTGGGAGAGAGGAGCTTGAGACATGTTCAGGAACCAGATCATGGAAGGCCTGGGAGACCCAGATAAGGCACTGGGGCTTCAGCTCTTAGGCAAGGAAGCCACTGAAGACTTTCCTGAAAGATTGTCCCACACTGAACTGCCCAAGAGGTTTATGACTAGAGAAACATGGCTGATTTGAAGATGTGTTTTAAAAAACATTCTTCTGTGTTCTAGCTATAAGCCAATAGTGGAATATATCGATGCCCAATTTGAGGCCTACCTGCAAGAGGAATTGAAGATCAAACGTTCTCTCTTCAACTACCATGACACCAGGATCCATGCATGCCTCTACTTCATTGCCCCCACCGGCCATTCCCTGAAGTCTCTGGACCTAGTCACCATGAAAAAGCTGGACAGCAAGGTACTCCCTGCTGCTCTGGTCACCATCTACTCTCCTTTTAGATCACCTTTATCCGAAGGCCCTGCTTTATTTTCTCCTTTTAATGTAATTTGGTTATATTGTTTTGTTTATACAAGATTGTTTTTCACAGAAGTTTTATGTTCTCAGCAAAGTTAAGAGGAAGGTACAGAGATTCCTTTATTCCCCTGCTCCCACAGCAACACCCCCACCCGATGGGCATGTTGTAATGGTTGATGCTCCTCAGTGACTCATCAGTCACCAAGTCCAATGTTTACATTAGGGTTCGCTCTTGGTACTACTGTACAATCTGTGGGTTCGGACACATTTATAGAGACCTGTATCCATCTTTACGGGATACAGACCAAGTTTTCCTGCTCTAAAACTCCTTTGCGCTCTTGCCTATTCATCCTTCCCCCTTCCTCCAGCCCCGTAATTGTCTTTTCTGGCTTACAGAACAATAGGGTTTGGCAATGTGAGAAAAATGCTTCCAAACCTCTGGATGTTAGGCTAAACAAAATAAAACAAACAAACAAATAAAACCATGGAACTCTTTACCAAGTATTTTTAGTTCTTAAATTAGCACCAGTGGATACTCTGATGAGGTGTGGAGACACCTAAATGGTCACAGGAAGGGTTAAATTTAGGGAGATTGAAATATGAAGTCACAATTTGTTTATTTCTTTAAAAGTTTTCTAAAATTTTTTAAAGGTTTTTTTAAAGGTTTTTAAAAGTTTGGCTTTAATAAGAAGTTCTGAATGGGAAAAAAAAAAGGTGTTAATTTTTTTTTTTTCACTTAGGTGATAAGGACAGTCCAGCTTCTGAGATTTAAAACTGAACTACAAAAATAAATAAATAAAATAAAATAAAATAAAATAAAACTGAATTACACCCACGTGTTTTTAAAAAGTAGTTTCAGCTGGACACCTGAGCATTCCACATTAATAACCTCTCCCTCTCACAACATTGGAAGGAAGGTCTTGATAAGTTTGATAACATTTAGTGATCTGCTTTACAATTAATTTGGTTTTTCATTTTGAAATAAATGGAAACCAGTACATTCTGAAAACAAAGACTCAAATGACAGTGGGAGCTGCCACAGAAAAATCTGTGGTATTTTCTAAGCCTCCTTGTTGAGTTCAGTAAAAAGTCTTATCATCTTGAGAGGGTTTTGTTGGGTGTTATTTTTGGTCTAAACATCAGTGTTTGAAAAATGCTTTCTCTCCAGAGAAACATGATAGAAAACACTCAGAAGACCAGCCTGTCCCCAAGGTCCCCATCTGAACTGGCTGCCAAAGTGCCTGCAGTGGCTGAAGCAGAGCCAGGCTCCTTGGGCTTCCAGCATGCGCAGACACATTGGTTTGCGGAAAAAAATAGTCTAATGGCATGAAGGGATTATTGCAGCTGGAGTACTCTCAGGAGAACAAATAGAAAGCCTTCTTCATGCATTGTTTCAGCTGCAGTTAACCTGGGCCTGTGGAGGTATGTAGGCTGTGAGGCAGGCTCCCCAGTGCCCTCAGATGTCCTTGCAGCAGGGCTGGGGGAAGGGCAGAGATGGAAGCAGGGTCCAACAGAGGCCATGGTTGTAGACCAAGCCAGGCTAATATTCAGCAAGAGGGTGATGCTTAGTAGAGTTGGTTTAAAAAGAGAAAGAAAATAAGGCAAAACAAACACAGCTGAGGAAAAAAAAAAAAAATCCCCAGAAAGCAGGTTAAACTGCTTTCAAAGAATTGCTATTGCTGTAGAGCCAGGAGTGCTGGATAGCATCTGAAAACAGTATTTGCAAAAAGGTTTGTTTACACGAGTAAAGTGAAGCATTAAGGCTCTTAGCTGTATATATCATAAGTATATGATAATTTCAGAAAAGATTTTTAAGCACCTGCCACCAAGGAAAAAGATTTTTAATCTAAATTGCTTGGTTTATCTATCTACTTTGATCAAATTGGCCCAAGAAACTATGAACCTCTGCCATTTTGTCCATGTGATATTAACTGAGTACTAAGTGTATACAAAAGATAGCCAGTAAGAACAACAGGAAAGTGTTTTGTTCCTCAGGTCCTGACCCAGACACCACCAGTGTTTTTCTCTGTCTGTGACTTGCTGGATAAGCCTAAGCATGATGAGGGTAGGAGTAGATGGAGGAATAGGTGAGGAATAGGTTTTTCTCTCCACATGTCTCATTGTGGTGAATCAGGGATTTTGATTTGGGTCTTGGAATAAAAGGAGGAGCAAAGGAATGCAGATATGACCAAGAAAACCTCCCTAAAGACTCCCTCTTCTCTTGCTAGGACGGCTTTCTCACTGAGTTCATCCCCCTTTCCCCTGAGCTGGGTGGAGAATGTGGTTCCCAGGTATCAGATGTCAGTAGTGTCTTCCTAAAATCTCTGTACCTACCATGGAGTGGAAGAAAGTTAATCTTAAAAAGGGAATTTTTAAAAATGTGCTTATGTGGACAATGCTGGGGAAAGTTGGAAGAATGACCCACGTTGGAGTTTGGGGCTTGCACCTAATGGTGTCCCTGGCTCTCATGCTGGGCTTTCTGCCATGGTTGTCAAACTCTGCCTTCTTCTGGTCTTTGTAGCCCATGTTCTGAGGGCGAGCCTTGTCTTTGGTACTGGGTCTCAATCTGGCATAAAGCAGTGATCGAAGCTGGTGTTTCAAAAGAATTAGTTGGTGTGATTTTGAAACTTTAAAAGTAGGTGGAACCTTTTTTGTTTTGATTAATACATAGGTTGTCCAGTCCTAGCAGTCATTAGAAAAAGGGAGGATGTTATCCTGTGAGGAGCTGGATATTCCACTATTCTAACTAACATGGTCTTGGCTATTAATCAACCTCCTAAAGTAGCTGGGAGGGGTCTAAAAGGAGTGGTTGGTTATTCAAAGAATAGACTTCTTTGTTATCGCTGTTATAGAATAACTCTTCCTTCTATTCTGTTAAACAAACAAACAAAAAAATGAGGTCGCACAGAATTGGAAATTACAAGTATGCTCTCAGTGCCGGATGGGAGGAAGTAAAAGTGTTCACGGATGGAGTGAAAAGATTACCCCATATCTTCTTCTTTTTTTTTTTTTCCATATCTTCTTAATATTGTTTCTGGGCAGAAAGTCTGATTTTCAGTATTATCTCTTTTTTTTAAGTGAAGGCTTATAATTTTTGTTATTTATATTTCATTCATTTGTCTTATGAGTCTTACATTGGAATTGTGTAAAAATGGATGTGTTTGTTTTATAGGTGAACATCATTCCAATAATTGCAAAAGCTGACACTATTGCCAAAAATGAACTGCACAAATTCAAGAGTAAGATCATGAGTGAACTAGTCAGCAATGGAGTCCAGATATATCAGTTCCCCACAGATGAAGAAACAGTGGCAGAGATTAACGCAACAATGAGCGTAAGTTCTCAAGTTAGGAAGCACTTACCAGTAATTTTCCTGAAAGCTTTTCTTGGTAGCAGCATTGTAGAGTGACTAGAACGCTGGACTGAGAATTGGACTCTAGTGTGGCCCAGCCCTGCCACTATGGCAAGTCATTTTCCCACCCTGCTCCTCAGTATCGCCATCTATCAAATGGGAAAGTGAAGCCAGCTGACCTCTGGTTTCCTTCCTACTCCCACAGGTAAGATTTCTACAGCAGATCTTGTGGGAAGGGAATGCCAGCTTGGCACCATCTCACACAAAGCAGCTTAAAAAAATAGATTTTTGTGTGTTTCTATCACTGTTGGCAGAAATATGTTCACCTGCCTCACGTTGGCTTCTGTGATGGGTTCCTGCCTTTCCCTCCTTTCTGTTTCTTCTACCGTTTCCTGAATCATTAGGTTAACTGGCAGTTGAGGTATGATTTCTCCACCTCACAGGCAGGATGGTCAGAAGAGAAAGGAGTAGAACTTCAGCAATTCTTTTTTTTTTTTTTTTTTAAGTTTGGTTTGTTTGACCAAAAAAGGGAGAGAGAGGGGGGGCACACAAGCAGGGGGCTCAACAGAAGGAGAGGGAGAACCAGGCTTTCCATCAAGTAGGGAGCCTGACACAGGGCTCGATCCCAGAACCCTGGAATCATGACCTGAGCCCAAGGCAGATGCCTAACCAACTAAGCCACCCAGAAGCCCGAGCTTCAGCAATTCTCAGTGTGGCTGCAATAAGATGTCGCATGGTGAGCCTCCAGGCTGCCCGCGGATACCCAAATCTTTCCCACTGCCTCTTTTGTATCTCACAGCCATGGCTCATCTCTGAGCCACAATTACTATACTTTTTTTTTCTATTTAGAAATGCATAACTTCAGTAAAAGTAGCATTCTTTGCACATAGTAGATGCCTAGTGATGGTTTTTGGAATTCTTAAAATTGTGGATTAGCTTCAGTGAAAAGTAATTAGAAGTTACCAAATAAGTTGCTTTTCCCTGAATACATGCTAAAAAATGATTCAGAAGATGTTAGTGGCAGCAGAAGACAGTCTAGATTTTTGAATTGTGGTAGGGTGAGCTATGTTCTACTTTCTCTAGATCTGGTCATGAAAAGTGTCTAATGAGGTCATTATTAAATGCACTAAAGATACTCTTTTTTTATTAACAGCTTTATTGAGTTATAATTGATATACTGTACAATTTACCCATTTAAAGCACACCATTTCATGGTTTTTAGTATATTCACAGAGTTGTACAACCATTGCCACCATCAGTTTTAGAACTTTTTATCACCCCAAAAAGAAATTGTGTACCTTTTAGCCGTCAACCCTCTAACCATCCCAGCCCTAGGCAACCACCACTCTACTTTCTTATCTCTATAGATTTGCCTATTCTAGGGATGCCTGGGTGGCTCAACGGTTAAGCGTCTGCCTTCGGCCCAGGACATGATCCTGGGGTCTTGGGATCAAGTCCCATGTCAGGCTCCCCATGGGGAGCCTGCTTCTCCCTCTGCCTGTGTCTCTGCCTCTCTCTCTCTTTCTCTGTGTCTCTCATGAATAAATAAATAAAATCTTTTTAAAAAATTAGCCTATTATAGACATTTCATATGAAGGGAACTCATACTGAAGCTCATCTGGAGAATTAAATGACTTGGTCAAAGCCAGCTAATGGCAGCACTGAGATTTCAACCCTGGTCCCACATCCGTGTTGTTTGACATCATAATTTAGGAGAACAGGGTTGTTCCACAAAACTATTTCTTATTTCTTCTGTTCAGTATATGGACTTTTCTATATAGTGCTGTTATCCTTCCAGGAGGAATTTCTTAAGTTATTCCCAATATGAGTAGGACTCGGAGCAAATGTAACTCCTCTCCTCCTTGGGGCTGTTGTATGAATTTAAAATTTAGGAACTCATTAAAGCAAAGGTAGTCCAGCTCCACTCTGCTCCAGTCTGGCCACACTCTGAGTTGTGTGACCCACTCTGGTTGCCAGGCTCCTGTAGTCAGATAGTAAAGGCTCTGGAATTTCTGGAAACTGGAGAGCAGATTCTTCCTGGGAAGATGGCCTGAGAGGGTGTGAAAGGAAGGTTGTCACAGGGGAGAGGAACTGCTCTTACTCAAAAAGACAGCTGAAACTAATGGGTAGGTGAAGGGCAGTGAGGTAAACATTTGGCCATCTGTGCCACCACAGTGTAGCACACATCCCGTTGAAGGCGCATGTTCTCATCACAGGTAGGACAGCAGATTCTGTATTAGCTCACTTAGAAGGGCTATTGTAGAAGGAATTCCTAAGCATGATCAAAACCCGTAGTGTGTGAGGCCTCATCCACATGTAGAACTCTCTGGTCATGGGTCCTGAGAGCTTCCTAATGATCATAGCAACTGACATTTTTGCTATCTATGGAGCATTTACTGTGCACCAGCCACTGTGCGAGGCTTTATTTACGTGTAGTCCTCACAGCAATCCCGTTGGTAGATACTGTTATTTTCTACCTCACCTGGGGGAGATTGCAGACTGGCCTTTCACGTGGCACAGTGCAGGTGGGATGCGAATGCAGGCGGCTTGGCTCTAATGCCAGCAGAGCAGCAGGCTTCTTTTACAGCATTGTTAAAAGCTCGGGCTGGGCTAGCACTTGTTTGTTCTGCTGTAGAACTGCCGTTTGAGATGGCGCTGTAGGATTTGAGAAATAACATGAATGAATATCAACTCATTTTCTCTTTATGTCCCTCCCCATCCTTTTAAGTCATTTTGGATGGTCATGCAACTAAATTTGTGTTAAATTTCTTGGAAAGGAAATACCTCTGAATCTTGACTCTCTCTCTTTATCAGATTAATCGAGCTGATAGTCCCAAATTAATCTTATTCTTCAATGAGAAATATATTTTTTTTTAGGCCCTCCATTGCAAACAGTTCTTGGTAATGAAATCCCATATGATAGGTGGAAAACAGATAACTTTGGCAGTTGCTCTTGTCACTCTGTGAGTGGAGAAAACAGTTTCCTTGGGTCATTACCTCAGAATGTTGGCTGGAAGGGTCTTGTTGCTCCTCAACTTCAGAGAACTTCAGAGAACAGTTCCAGACTCAGAGTCTGAAAAAGAGAATGTGCTTTCTTCCATCCTATAGAATGTGAGACGAACCAGAAAATAGAAATATCTTGAGCATCAGATGAAATACCCCTTGGGCAGCCTTGGCTGAAGGTTATGCCTTCTGTGGGTTATGATTCGGCTTTAAAACATTCTCGTGGGCAGCCTTGGTGGCTCAGCGATTTAGCGCCGCTTTCAGCCCAGGGCCTGATCCTGGAGACCCAGGATCGAGTCCCACGTCGGGCTCCCTGCATGGAACCTGCTTCTCCCTCTGCCTGTGTCTCTCTCTCTGTGTCTCTCATAAATAGATAAGTAAAGTATTAAAAAAAAAAATTCTCGTTTTTCTCAACTTTTCTACAGTGTAAGAGCTGTGGATCAAGGAACTCGAGATAATCATTTTCAGAACAGCCATTTCACAGTTTCTTATTCTTACATGCTAATAGAAAAAAGATGGATTTACTATCCCCCTACCCCCTGCCCCACTCCCAGAATGTAGCTGTAGCTACCAAATAAACCAATGTAGAATAGTCCTTTGTCTTGAACACCACCTCTGTCTAAAATAAATCTGGGTTGCAAGGCTTAGGCCAGAATTTGGGCTAAAGTGTATTTCTGATTTGAATTTTGCACAATGGTCAACTGTCTCAAGCAATGCTGTTCAATAGAAATAAAATATGAGCCACACAAGTAATTTAACATTTTCCAGTAGTCACATTAAAAGTGATAAAAGGGAGGCGCCTGGGTGGCCCAGTCAGTTAAGTGTCTGACTCTTGGTTGGGGGTCAGGCCATGATCTCAGGGTCATGAGATTGAACCCCACATTGGGCTCAGTACTCAGCACAGCAGTCTTCAATTCTTTTCCTCTTCTTCTCCCTCCCTCTCTGCTAGCTTGCTCGCTTGCTCTCCCTCTCGCTCTCTAAATAAATAAATAAATAAATAAATAAATAAATAAATAACTTTGAAAAAAATGGTAGAAATGGCATTATAATAAAAGAGGAAATGTAAAAATAATTGAAAAACTTAACTGAATATATTCAAAATATCATTTCAACATGTAATCAATATAAAAATTAATGAGATACTTTCATAGTAAGTCTTTGAAATCCAATGTTTATTTTATAATTAAAGCATACCCCAATTTGGATGCATACTCAAGTTGCTCCTAACATACTTGAAAGTGTTTCAGTATGAGATAAGTACCAAAAGATAATTTTCCTTCAACATTTGCATCCACGTTGAACAAAGTGGTTGTTTTGTTTTTTTTAGATTTGAGTTTGAGCAAAATGAAGTGCAGTCCTCAAACAACAGAGTTTTAGTTAATGGGAAAATATTTTATCTTACTTTTTTTTTAATCTTACGTTTTTAAATTGAAATGTAAATTCATTAAAAGTAAATCAAATAAAAAATTCAGTTTCTTAATCTCACAAGCCCCATTTCAAGTGCTCAGTGGCCACATGTGTTAGTGGCTATGGTCATGTACAACATGTGTCTGAAGCATCCTTCGTGGTACAGAGACTCCCACAGCTTCCCTGGACTCTAGCTCATTTCACATATCCTGTATTTGGTTGCAGAAGGGGTGGAGTACACGCAGCCCCTTCCCCCCAGGGACCTGCAGAGCCCCGGCCCTCTTCCAGGTCCCTCCCCGTTTGCTTTTGCTGCTAAGTGAGGCCTGCAGAAGGGAGAGAAGGTAACTGTTGTCCCCTTGTGTTGCTTCACAGGTCCATCTCCCATTTGCTGTGGTCGGCAGCACGGAGGAGGTGAAGATCGGCAACAAGATGGCAAAGGCCCGGCAGTACCCCTGGGGTGTGGTGCAGGGTACGTGTGCATAACAAGGAAGGGCGTTTTCACACTTAACCCCTGTGGTGACCGTCCAGGTTTCCTCCCTCCCTGCCGTGTTTAGGGAGGTCCTCAGCTACAGGCAAGAGGAAGGGAGCAGCAGGGTTGTGCACGTGGCAGTTGTGAAGTGAGGAAGTGAGACATGAAGACCAGGTAGGTAGACAGTGGGGAGAAGTGAGTGCAGGGCTCTAGTGCCAATGAAGCAGCCCCTCAAGAATATTGGCTTGTATGGCAAATTCAGTATACATTGCTGAGAGAAGCGTTCTTCCCTAAAAGTGTTAGCCACTTTCACACCAGTTTCATCAGCAGGGTATAAGAAAGCTACAAAAAGTTTCTTGTAAATAAGAGGATATTTGTTTCTCCATTATCTCTGGAAAACTTGCCTTCCAATTAAATGTTATCTCGGTAAATATCGGAGAATTATAAGACCGTCCGACCTACATTTGGCACTATAGGACGTGATGACAGTCTCTGACCTAAAGAAGCTTCTCATACATCACTATGATGGGCAAGAACTCTGTTACCGCTCTTGTGCGTTTTGAAGGAGGATATCTAATGCTATACGTTAAGTAGGATCGCTATAGAAAGTTCCTTCACTGGTTCATATCAGTCCTCCTTTTTCTTTTGTTCTGAATAAAGGCAATAAATCTGCAAGAAGTGAGAAGAAATGACACCTTTGGGATCTCTAGGAAAATTAAAATTTTTGTGAATCTTACCTATTTCTCTACAATAAAACTTTTTTCATAGTGTTGATAAAACTTAGGAAGTGGCATATAGAAACTGCCTGGTATGCTTCCAGGGGGCATGGAGTAGAAGAATTAGACCTGGCTTTGCAGCCAGATGTTGTGATGCTTGAATGTAGACTTCGCTGCCTCTACTCAGGAGGTGAGCGTGCTTATGAAAGCCTTGCTTCTGCATCTACAAGGCCAGAGTCACAATGCCTCCTTGGCAGAATTATTCTGAAGGCTAAAAACAATATTTATAAAGTTCCTCCCACAGTGTCCTGCCCTGAGCAGGCCTGCTACAGTTACTGTAGTCATCAGTATGATGATCTGCGTTGTCAACGATCTTGTCCTCATTGTGTATGTGAGGTGAATTCAGTAAAGGTCCAGGTGGCTTTGAGACTTCAGAGATTTCAGGAGCAATGGTGATAACCTCTTGAAAGTGTCACTTCAGATTTTCAGGAACATGGTTGCTAATAGCCACCCCACCTTCCTCTCTCTTGCAGTTGAGAATGAAAACCATTGTGATTTTGTGAAACTTCGAGAGATGCTGATCCGTGTGAACATGGAAGATTTGCGAGAGCAGACTCACACCCGCCATTATGAACTGTATCGGCGCTGTAAGCTCGAGGAGATGGGGTTCAAGGACACTGACCCTGACAGTAAGCCTTTCAGGTAAGAGGGCACCTACAAATCAGCTGTTTCCCAGATAGTGGCTTGAGCGATATGTTCATGTATCATCAAAATCTTGTCAGACTAGGGCACCTGCGTGGCTCAGTCAGTTACATAGCCGAGTCTTGGTTTTCGCTCAGGTCATGGTCTCAGGGTGGTGAGATCAAGCCCCACATTGGGCTTTGCACTAAGCAGGTAGTTTGCTTCCAGTTCTCTCTCTCCCTCTGTCCTTTCCCTTGCAAGGGTGCATTCTCTCTCTCCCTCGCTTTCTAAAATAAATATAAAAAAAAGAAAAGAAAAGGAAGGAAGGAAGGAAGAAAAAAAGAAAAAGAGAGAAAAAGAAAGAAAGAAAGAGAAAGAAAGAAAAAGAAAGGAAGGAAGGAAGGAAGGAAAGGAAAGGGAAGGGAAGAAAGGAAAGGGAAGAAAGAAAGGAAGAGAAAGAAAAAGAAAGAAAGAGAAAGAAAGAGAGAGAGAGAAAGAAGAAAGAAAGAAAGAAAGAAAGAAAGAAAGAAAGAAAGAAAGAAAGAAAGAGAAAGAAAGAGGGCAGCCCCTGTGGCACAGCAGTTTAGCGCCGCCTGCAGCCCGGGACGTGATCCTGGAGACCCTGGATCGAGTCCCACATCAGGCTCTCTGTATGATGCCTGCTTCTCCCTGTGTCTGTGTCTCTGCCTCTCTCTCTCTCTCTCTGTCTCAATAAATAAATAAAATCTTAAAAAAATAGTCTTAAAAAAAAGAAAGAAAGAAAGAAAGAAAAAGAAAATAAATGCTTGTGGAATAAGATATACGTGACAGAAGGACCTGGTGAGGACACGTTACTAGCATACTTGCCAGGCATCGTGATAACACTTTATTGGCATTATCTCAACTAAGCAATGTAGTTGATGTCATTATCCTCTGCATTTTACAGGTCAGGACACTAAGGTGCTGAAAGTGTAAGTAACATAGCCCAGGTCCTGTTAGGAGGCCATGAACCCCTGCTCTGCACCACTGCACTCACAGAGGCACAGAGCCTGGCCGGGCACTTACAGAGCTTGGCTGCTCACTGCAGTGTGCTGTGTTCATGGCTGCCAGCTGGGTCTCCTTTCCCAAGGCCCTTAGTAGTTCAATATGATGCTAACAACTAATGAGACAAAAGCGGATAACTCGTAGAAAATTTCTTGTGTGTTTTCTTACATCATCCATAGGTGGAGATGGAGAAGTGACATGTGAAGGGGAGACTGTCAAAGTTAATGTAGAATTAGTGGCTTTCCAAAGGCCCAATCACTGTCAGAATTTAGTCGTGGGGCCATGGAGCTGTGAGGGGAGGTGGGGCTCCCAGGCCAGATTTGCCTCCTCCGGGCTCAGGAGAGGATTGCTTTGTCCAGCCTGGGCCTATACAGTGTCTCAAAGAAGATTTCAGTTGAGGTGATGTGAGGTGTTTCTGGGCATGGATTAGGGGCTAAAGTTCCACTGGAAAAGACTGTTTCCTCCTCTGCTGCCTCTGCTTTTGGCATTTAAATTAAAATACCTCCGGCAAGCCTCGGGTAGCTGCCCACCGGGAGGAGGTGTTTGCTGTGTAGGTCCAGCAGGGCTTCTGGAAGGCCTGGTAGAGTGAGGTCCAGCCTACTGCTCTGGCCTTCTTGACTTCAGGGTCTTCAGGATGGTGGCAGATGTCATCCAGCCCTTTTGACTGGTGGAGGATATGCCTTCACATGCCTTCTGCTCCCCATTTGGTTCCATTTCTTCTGGCTTAAGGTTTCCTTTTTTTGTTTTGTTTTGTTTCGTTTTTATATTTCACTATATTCACTTTTTTATTGAGGTATAATTAACATATAATATTAGTTTTAGATGTACAGCATAGTGATTCAGTAATTCTATACATTACTCAGTGCTTGCCACAGTAAGTGTAGTCACCGCACAGTATTACTACAGTATCGTTGGCAGTATTCCCTATGGTGTACTTTTCATCTCCATGACTTGTTTATTTTATAACCTTTAAGAGGTACAAACTTTATCTGTTTCTATCTTCCTTTTTTTTTTTTTTAAGGTTTTATTTATTTATTCTTGAGAGACACACAGAGAGAGGCAGAGACACAGGCAGAGGGAGAAGCAGGTTCCTTGGGGGAGCCCGATGCAGGACTCTGTCCCAAGATCCCGGGATCACAATCTGAGCTAAAGGCAGATGCTCAATCTCTGAGCCACTCAGGCACTCCTGTTTCTATCTTCCTTTATTTTTATCTATCTTTTTTATTTCACCTATTCTCTCTCTCTCTCTCTCACACACACACACACACACATATTTTCATAACCACCAATTGGTTCTTTGTATTCAAGAGTTCGGTTTTGGTTTGTTACTTTGTTCATTTGTGTTTTGGGTTTTTTGTTTGTTTAAGATTTATTCACTTGAGAGAAAGAGAGCAGAGAGAGAGAGGGAGAGGAAGACAGAATCTCAAACAGACTCCCCACTGGACACAGAGCCTGGTACGGGGCCTATCCCAGGACTTAGGATCATGACCTGAACCAAAACCAAGTTGGACACTCAACCAGCTGAGCCACCCAGGCAGCCCTGTTCATTTGTTATGTTTTTTAGATTCCACATATAAGTGAAACATATGGTATTTGTCTTTGTCTGACTTATTTCACGTAGCGTAATATCCTGCAGATCCATCCATCTTGTCACAAATAGCAAGATCTAATTCTTTTCTTTTTTGTAGCTGAGTAATTATGTATATATGCCTATATATGCCACATCTTTATCCATCCACTTACTGATGGATGCTTAAGTTGCTTCCATATCTTGGCTATTGTAAATAATGTTCAGTAAGCATAAGGTACATATATCTTTTCAAACTAATAATTTTAGTTTTCTTTGGGTACATATCCAGTAGTTGAATTGTTAGATTATATGGTAGTTCTAATTTTTAACTTTTTGAGGCACCTCCATTACTGGTTTCCACAGTGGCTGTACCAGTTTACATTCCCACCAACAGTACATGAGGTTCCCTTTTCTCCACATCCCCACCGACACTTGTTATTTCTTGTCTTTATACTAGCCATTCTGACAGGTGTGAGGTGATATCTCATTGTGGTTTTGATTTCATTTCCCTGATGATGAGTCATGTTGAACATCTTTTTATGTGTCTGTTGGCCAGTTGTATGTCTTCTTTGGAAAAATGTCTGTTCAGAGCCTCTGCTCACTTTTTAATTGGATTGTTTTTGGTGTTGAGTTGTATAAGTTCTTTATATAGTTTGGATATTAACCACTTATCAGCTTGCAAATACCTTCTGCCATTCATAAGGTTGCCTTTATTTATTCAAAAAAAATTTTTTTTAATTTATTTATTCATGAGAGACACACACACACACAGAGAGAGAGAGAGGCAGAGACACAGGCAGAGGGAGAAGTAGGCTCCATGCAGGGAGCCCGACATGGGACTGGATCCCGGGTCTCCAGGATCACGCCCTGGGCTGAAGGCAGCGCTAAACCGCTGAGCCACCCGGGCTGCCCATAAGGTTACCTTTTCGTTTTGTTGATGGTTTCCTTTGCTTTGCAAAAGCCTTTTATTTTGATATAGTCTCAGTAGTTTATTTTTGCTTTTGTATCCTTTGCCTGAGGAAACGTATCTAGAAAGAAGAACAAAGCTGGAGGTACCACAATCCCAGATTTCAAGATATACTAAAAAGCTGTAGTAATTGAAACAGTGTGGTACTAGCACAAAAACAGACACAGAGATCAGTGGAACAGAATAGAAATACCAGAAATAAACTCATACTTCATTTGGTCAGTTACTTTACGACAAAGAAGGCAGGAATATGCAATGGGGAGATGCAAGTGGTGCTGGGAAAACTGGACAGCTATATGCAGAAGAATGAGACTGGACCACTTTCTTACACCATACACAAAAATAAACTCAAAATGGATTAAAGGCCTAAATGTGAAACCTGAAACCGTAAACTAGAAGAGACCACAGACAGTTTCTCTGACATTGGCTGTGGCAACATTTTGTTGATAGTCTCCTAAGGCAAGGGAAACAAAAGTGAAAATAAAGTATTATGGGACTGAGGTTTCCTTTTTGATAATGCAAAGGGGGGAGAATATATAATAAATATGCATCCAAAGCCTTTATTCTTTTCCCTATACAAAAAAATAAGAACAGGTAGACCTTCTGAAATACTTGCTATCATCTCAGTTACTGGGAACACTGGAAATGGTTTGTCCTCTTAGAAATCCACTCATTTAAACCCAGCTGTCCGTCATGGTGTGAGCAAGATCATTTGCAGAATAATAGCTGGCTTTGAATCAATTGTCTTAGCAAATAGGAAGGTGAAATTAACTTAGTTTTCCCTTTCTTGAGAACCACTACTTTAAAAAGGGCTCAGACTTTCCCTTTGAGGCATTTCCAGTATTCCCAGCACTTCTGTGAGCCTGGAGCCACACTGATGCAGTGAGGGGACCCTGCATGAAGGATGACACAATTGAGGTAAAGCCAAAGCTGCAGCTGATTTGAGTGGTTCTCCAGAATTTCATCTCTGGGTGTACAATGAAGTCCATCCTTCCCTTTGAGCATCCTGTGTCCTCCAAGCCCCTCTTGTGTTTATAAAGCAGGAGGTGATCTCTAAAGCCAAGGCTAGTAAGGGGCAGCCATCACCCAAATATATTGTACGGTGTGAAACAAAAGTAGGAGCTGGGCCTGCACAGTAACAGGCTATATTAAAGGCTTGGAAGTACATTGGACGCCCTGAGACTGTCCCTGGTGGTGTCCTCGAACCTGCCTCATTTCAGACTTGTCTTCTAGCAGAATCTCTGTATCTGTCTGTCTACCTGCCTACTTATCCAGGAGTCAGCTTGCTTTCTCCTGTGCCCGCCTTTCCCACCTGCTGCCCTATAGCCTTCAACCCAACTAGACCACCGTGCCTTCTCAGGACCCTGGTCCCCCTTCCCCACACCTCAGCTGCTTTGGGGTTGGTGTTTGGAGAAGAGGGGAAGGGATGTAGGACACAGGTTAGAGACTGGGCCGATCTTGTTCGTGCTACTTTTCTCCTGAGACACCATTGCCCTTTCCTCAACAGTCCCTGTCCAAACAAAAGCGGGAGCTGGGCGAACACAGTAACAGGACTCTGTCTCCTGTAACTTCTCTTGACTCTATCAGGTCAGAAGAAGGGCTTCATTACCACCATCCTCTTAAGAGATCACAATGTTTTTTTCAGGTCCATGAGACCCATGTGTATGTTGGGGGGGGGGATCACATAGATGCCGGCTCGCCAGCTGTGTGGTGCAGTGGGCAGAGCTCCTGTCTCAGTTTGGTGGCCTGAGTGACAGAGTGAGCTTCACACCCTTCATTGTGTGACCTGGACAGATTGCCAAACACTTGTGTCCACGTTTCTTCATCTCTGAAGTGGGAGATGGCTAGTAAATACCCATCTTATTGGGTTATTGTGAGAATGAATGAATTCTTGTGTATAAAGTGCTTCATAAACACTGGTGATGTGTTCTTCCTGGCATGCCCTTCACCAGATGGTTCCTGGGGATTTTGACAGAGAGAGGATTATGCTCTGTCAATGATCAGAGTGAAGTCTGAACTGAGTACCTCTACTCAATTCTTTCCCTTGATCTCCATGAGCAAAACCTACCTCCGCCTAGGACTGTTAAGAAAACAAGAAGAGGGGTGCCTCGCTGGCCTCCATCGGAGGAACATGTGACTCTTAATCTCTGGGTTGTGAGTTCGAGGCCCACATTGGGTGTAGAGATTACTTAAAAATAAAATCTTATTTAAAAAAGTGAGAAAACAAGAAGGTAAAATCTGCAGCTTCAGACTAGCTTAAAACCTCATGAAAAAATTGCACATTTCTCAATGAGAATAGGGTGTTAATAACTATGATTAAAAATTAAGTTGAAAGAGCTAAAAATTGCCAAAGATGTCATCCTGGTGCCATAGAACCAGTTCCTTTCAACTTGTGTTTACCGACTGGAAGCATTAGTGAAGGTTTCTGGTATCTCATTTACGGCTCAACTGGCAGAGGCTCCTGAGGACTATAGCCCCGTGAATGTGTGGTTGTTGTTTGAAGTCGTTTCTAAGTATCTCACTATAGTTATGACTCCTTGGAGTAGGGTCTTAGGTTTTCTTAAGTGTTGCTTATCATTTCCAGGGTCAGAGTTCAAAGCCTGGCTCATATCCCAGGACACAGTGATGGCATAAGTAGCATTTGTCGAGGCCACTTTGCTGTTGCAGCCCAGATGTCTAGGCTACTGGCTGTGTCTCCTGGCCGAGGCCATCTGGCTGGTTGCTTGATAATCCTTTTCTAGGACGTGGGCTTTCTGACTTTGGGTGGCAACCTTTACTATAAAATGTGTTCTGCATCATGATCCAGTATACAGACTTTGAAGTACACTTGTCTTTTGTTTGCAGTGCACTCTGGTATTTTCTATCCTATTCTGTTAAACGTTTTCATTTAACATATTGGTTAAGACCCTCGATTGGGTCATGACCTGTAGTTTGAAAATGTATCTCCAGAAACTGGAGTGCAAACTAGGTTGTGGTTGGGACTGGATAGGGCAGAGTCATCCTGAGGGTTCTCATGTTGTAGGTAACACTACCTAAACTGCATTCTCCCTGTGGGTTACTTTAAAAAGTTTCCATGAATCAACAAATTTGGGGAGCACTAAGTTAATAAACAGGTTCTTGTATGTGAGGACTTTTAGAGCATTTAAGACAAGCAGTGGTTGGCAGATGAGTTACATCACATCACCTGGAAGCATTTTAAAAATACAGGTTAGGACCCTTGGGTGGCCCAGTGGTTGAGCATCTGCCTTCGGCTCAGGGTGTGATCCCAGGGTCATGGGATCAAGTCCCACATCGGGCACTGCAGGGAGCCTGCTTCTTCTTCTGCCTGTGTCTCTGCCTCTCTCTGTGCCTCTTATTTATGAATAAATAAATAAACGCTTTAAAAAAAATACAGGTTATTCTGTCTTTGCCTGATATCCTGAATCAGCCCCTACAGGAGTGGGATTAGAACACAGTTTAGAAAAGTCCCAAAAAACATGTCCAGCTGATCCTGACTTGCTGCTGGTCTTGGGAACCACTTTGACTCTCTTAACTGGAGATCACACAGCATTTTCCCTTGACTCTCTTGCCTTGGGAACCCTTCTTTTGAAGATCTCTTGAAACTAGTGATCTCTGGAACACATTTTGAGTAGTGTTTCTTGGTACTGTTTCTGTAAAAGCTATTTCCACTCCTTGTTAGAAAGAAATGGGAGATACACTCATTATCATAAGAAGGTTTCCCTCAAAATAGTATCTTCCATGCTATTAATATTAGCCAATATCAACATTGGCCAAAATCGTTTTTGTTTCAAAAGATAATATGAAAGCTAAATATACCTCTAGAACTCAAAGTACTTGATTGTTCATTAACAGGTAGCGTTGACACTTTTGAAGGTAAGAGAACTTTTTTTTTTTTTTTGAGAGTGAGAGAGCACAAGAGTGGTGGGAGGGGGGGTGGTACAGAGCAAGAAGGAGAGAGAGAATCTTAAGCAGGCTCCATGCCCAGTATGGAGCCTGACGCAGGGCTCAGTCTCATGACCGTGAGCTCATGACCTGAGCCAAAATCAGGTCAGCCAAAATCTCTGTTTGTGTAGGTGTATGGGGGTGTGTTTTCTTAAATTGTGTTACCAAAAGCAATTTTTCTGTCAATGTATTTGTTCTTAGAGGTAAAGCTGAGTCTGGCATTCAATTTAAAATACTGGGCTCAGGGACGCCTGGGGGCTCAGCGAATGAGCGTCTGCCTTTGGCTCAGGTCATGATCCCAGCCAGGGTCCCGGGATCAAGTCCCTCATTGGGTTCCCCACAGGGAGCCTGCTTCTCTCTCTCCCTGTGCCTCTGCCTCTCTCTCTGCGTCTCTCATGAATGAATAAATGAAAGCTTTAAAAAAATAAAATACTGGGCTCAAAGTTCTGTAGAGAGGAGAATGGGGTTTAAGATAAAAATAAAACTCCTGCCTGCTCTATTTACAATTGGCAATATAACATGAAAAGTAGCAATTTTCTCTAGTATCTTTAGATATACTGTTGTTTAGACGATTCACTGGGTCTGTTTTCTGAATCGGGGACTGGCGGGAGGTGATCGGGAGCGGGGTGATATTTGCTAAGCACTGACGATTGAATCCTGCCCTCGCATCGCCCCCATGTAATTACCACGATCCTATCCTGAGAAGGAAGCACTGTTGTAGCCGCATCTGATACAGAGAACACTGAGGCTCAGGGACTGTGCCCTTCCCAAGATTGGCCAGTAAATTGCTGTGGCCAAATCCAATCCCTGGTCTGTGAGGCCCTGGTGCCTTTGCTTCTCTCCCTACACCATGCTGCCTTCCTCTTCTAAATTCTCCGTCTTACTTGACGTCTACCTTGTTTGCTGATCTGGAGGGTACTAGCCAGCCCAACCCGGGCTTTCCCTGTGTGAGTGTAATGGTACAAACGTGGCAAGACATACCCGTCGTGCTGTATTGTGCACAGTGACTCCTCCCCGATGCTCCATGTGTCTGTCTTTCTGATCACTGCATAACTAAAGAGGAGATGGTGTGTCCTTTAATACAGTAAGTGGCAGCCTTGGCTGTATTTTTGGAAGCAGTGAGTAGAAATTGTATGAAGTGAAATTTCCTATTCAACTTCACAACACTCTCCTTGGTTTGTGGCTTTTAAATAGTCTTCAGGAGACCTATGAAGCGAAAAGAAATGAATTTCTGGGAGAACTTCAGAAGAAAGAAGAAGAAATGAGGCAAATGTTTGTGATGAGAGTGAAGGAGAAAGAAGCTGAACTTAAAGAGGCAGAGAAAGAGGTAAGCCATCTGTCTTCCTTCAGGGCAGAGGCAAGCAGGCCAAGTATGTCCTTAATCCATCACATTTGATAGAGTTTCATGCTCTCCTCGGTACTTTTTGCATGGATCTTGTCACACGAGCAGCATACTAATGTGGTGAAGACAGCAGGTCAGGTATTCTTATCCCCATTTTACAGATGATAAAACCAAGAGTCCTAGAGGTTAAGTGATTTCTGCGGTCACATACCTAGTAGCAGAGCTGAAACTAAAACTAGACCTTAGGTCTTCAGATGTGGTCCCGTGTTCTCTGTGGCTCCATGTTTCCTCAACTTATGACTCTTGCAACATAAGATTTGGGATTCTGGGACTATAATTTTTTTTTTTTTTTGTCTGTCAGCCAGTCTGTGGAGGGGCCCTTGTGCGCAAGCTGGTGGGCTATGGTCTCTCTGTACACCATGTCTGTACGTGTGCTTCTTGCTTTGTGGGCACATACTCGCTGTGCCAGGGTCCTTGTGACTCCGTGTCGCTGCCCAAGACCAGGCCAAGTGAACTGCCTCCTAGAAGCTCACATGGATTTCTGCTATAACACTCATTTCATTGAGGCGGGGGTGGGGGGGTGGGGAGGCAGCGAGGGAGACGGAATAATCTATTTGTCTCTCTTGGTATATAATGAGTATCTCAAGTGCTTGACCTGTAGTTCTGTACATTTCCAAATTGTCTACATAATTTCCTTATCATTGGGATCCCGGGGTGGCGCAGCGGTTTGGCGCCTGCCTTTGGCCCAGGGCGCGATCCTGGAGACCCGGGATCGAATCCCACGTCAGGCTCCCGGTGCGTGGAGCCTGCTTCTCCCTCTGCCTGTGTCTCTGCCTCTCTCTCTCTCTGTATGACTATTGTAAATAATTAATTAATTAATTAATTAATTAATTTAAAAAATTCCTTATCATTCCCCTTTATCTTGAGAAAGACTACTGAAATTTAAAGGTTATTTAAATAGCTAAGCACTCAATATAGTTTTGCTGCAGAGAAAGTTGAGAGTAATTTATCATTGGTCTATATCGTTGGATGCTGGGTATAAATCTAAAACTATCTAGTAAGAGTTTTTTCCTTAATTCTTTCCTTCCTTCCTCCCTCCGTCTCCTTCCCTTCCTCCTTGCTTTTGTTTCTGCCTCGTGATAATTTTCTAAATTCAATTTGTCAAGAAATTTGCCAGAAACTTCTCAACATACTATTTGAGTAGCCTATATCATCTGTGGTCACTGTGTATGTCTGTATATTTCACACTTTGAAAAAGGACCAGAAATAAAGATCTACTCTTACCGTTCAGGTGAATTTCTAATTAGGAGTACAGATAACTTTTTAATTTTCTTCTTTATGCTTTTTACAAGGACTATGTATTTTATTATCAGTGAAAATGAACAGGATTCCCTTTAGTGCCCAGGCATCTAAGTCTCAAAGGTGTGGAGCGGGGCTGGGAAGGATGCTCTTTACCAGCTCAGCCTGGCTCCCCCAAGGAGCACCACACGGTGCTTCCCTCGTGGGGCGACAGCACGTGTAGCAGCATGAAGCCCATTTTGTTTTTGAATAGATCCAAATGGCCTTCACCAAGCTTACCCTCCTCTTTTCTTCCTCAGCTCCATGAGAAGTTTGACCTCCTGAAGCGGACACACCAGGAAGAAAAGAAGAAAGTGGAAGACAAGAAGAAGGAGCTGGAGGAGGAGGTGAACAATTTCCAGAAGAAGAAAGCAGCAGCTCAGCTACTACAGTCCCAGGCACAGCAGTCTGGGGCCCAACAAACCAAGAAAGACAAGGATAAGAAAAAGTAAGCGCGTGTCCCCCCCCCCCCCCATGCTCTGGGGCCCTCTAATAATTTATTCCTTTTGCATGTTTCTACGTTCCCATTTACAGACTGGAAACTGGTCTGTTACCAGAGAGATAAAAGCAAGTCTTTTCTCTACAGTGCAGGGAAGATACTACAGGTTTTTAAAGTATTTGTAAAGGGCACACAAACAATTTATAAAACTCGACCCCATGACCAAGCAATCAGGGCTGGAGGAACCTGCTGTCTCCAGTGGTGTCTTCTGCATCAACACTAGGACTTTGGAGAAGACGGTCTATTTCTCTTCACTGCCCTCTGGAGACAGTCCTCAGGCCTCGTGATGAAGGGCATCCTAAAATGATGATTGTGAAAATTCTTCTATTCTGCGTTGTGAGGCTTGATAAGCCAGTCACTGCAAGTCTTGTTTCCAAAATGGGAGATTGGAGCAAACTACCAGTGGCCACTAGTTTTCCCCTAAATTCCACAAGGTGGTGAATTGTTTCATTGTGGAAATGGGATCAAAACACCCTTCCAGTTAAGGCAGCCCTACCAATCCTCAAAGCACACAAAAGAATATTCTAAGATATGGCCTCGATTTAATGTGCCAAAGGGTCCAATTCTGCTCATAAGCTAGTCGCTTCCTTCAGTACTCAACAGCGGCTGCCTGAGGGAGGCGGGGGCCTGCCCGACATTCTCTCATGATTGGAAGCTCTACAGCAGATCACCTTCATGCCTCGAGAATGCAGTCTTACGACCATCGCTTCTGATCTGACAGTAGGCTCAGAGGTCCGTACGAAACCAGATAGTAGAGCCTCGGTGGCGGCTGCGTGACGGCCCTCCTGTGTCTGTTTAACAAGCAGTGCTCTTAGGGCAGTGATGAGGCAGCTCAGACTGTGTTTCAGGATCCTTCCTCTTTACCCTGAGGTGCCAAGCTTCCAGAGGAAAAACTGACGATTAAGTGAACAGTGCAGATATTGATAGGCAAAAAATTAAATTTTAAAAAATAGAGCAGATAGGGTTGGATCTGCACAGTAGTGGATACCCGTCACGGGGGAGTGAGCACAGTGGTGGTGTTCTCATATTCTTGGTGAACACATAGACTCACCCCTGAGGAATATCGTTGTGTTGCCTGTAGGCAGAGGTCACAACACGGCACCATAGTGACACCGGAGTTTTAAATGATACCTTACAAACTTGGACTTCCCAAGCTCTGAGACAGCAGAAAATGTGTCAGGAGAGCCAAGAAGTAAGCAAATTTTCTAGACAATTAAAAGTAGTTGGTGTGGGTGTGGTGTGATGTTCATGGGGTTGGTACAGATTCAAGTGATCAAGAACTCCAAGGGCTGAAATTTTAGTTATGCTGGATAATTCTGAGCATAACAGTTGCCTAGATTATAATCCAGTTCAGAAAAGTGCTTTGTACAATGCATGTTGGGGGAGCTTCAGTCACTCGTGGTGACACTCCCCAGGCAACATTGAGAGATTAGTGAATCCAGTAAGATGAAATGAAAGTCATTTGGCATCATACCCTTGTTGATCCTAACTAACCCAAGATAAAAATAGGGGTGTGTGTGTGTGTGTGTGTGTGTGTGTGTGTGTGTGTGTCCGTCCACATCTATAGGCATGGATGAAATTAAAAAAAAGCTGCTGACTCAAAGCTTAGGAAATCCAAAGTTAAGTTTTTCTTACCCTGAAGCGCTAATGTGCATAAAGGTACACATTTTAGAATTAAAGATGTCTATAAAAGACCAGCAATGTTCCAAAAATATCCAAGGATATTTCCTGTCCGCTGGATGTGCCTTTAAGCAATACAAGTTCCATGAGCTGATCCGTACTGTGCCTCCACTAAACAAAGTCTATGTAGTAACAGACTTCCCAGTGTAGGGGGGTTTCTCCTTGCCCTTTTGAGCATTTTAGGTTCTTTTCATCCCAACCTTGGGCCTTAGCGATATATAATGCTTTTCAAGTTTACATGAAGTATGTGTAAATTCAATTTTAGCCTTATTTATGCATTCTCATGTATTATTAATAGAATTAGACTTAATTTGGTGCACTGTAGTGACCAGGTTTTGTACCTGACAATGGCACATATTTTTTTGTTAGGTTCTTAACCTTTTCTACACCTTTCTCATTTGAACACTGAAAGTGACTGCCACTTGGGGGCCTGAAGTGTAAAAATTAAAGAACTCCCCCTCTTAGGGCCAAGGGAGAGTTTTGGTTAGAGAGGACTACAGAAAGACAGTCACCAGGGTCATCAGAGCAGCACTTTGAAAACAAACGGAAGACTCTTGCCTCCTCACCTAGCTGGAGGAGATGCCGAAGCCCCATATGTGCCGCTCAGGAGCTGGTGTTTCAGGGAAAAAATTGTTATAAAAGAGATGCTTATTTATTCGCTTGCTCTGCTTCCACCTTGAAAATTAACTTAGTTTTTCTAATAGTTTTAAATTGTTTTTCTAATGACACACTCCCTTTTTAACGTAGGTAAGGCTTTATGCTTCTTGACCTGTAGTGGCATAAGAGCATATAACATTTCCTAAGGTTACAGACAAAGTAGAACTAACCCTGGCACTGCCATTAGTTGGACCCCATCTCCTGCCCTCCCTGGCCAGCAAGGCACTTTCCTTGTCAGCGGCTACACCGCACGGTGGGACTGCCCGAGGGTAAGTTGTTCAGTGGACAGTGTTCTTTTCTGAAAACTTTGCACAATTTCCAGTAGGCATTGGTGGTTACGTTTCATCCATCCCCAAAGAAGGTTTTAAAATCCATCATTTTAAAACTGTACCTGGCATCTGATAACTATAGTTTATATAGTCATCCACTCATCTTTTAAAAAGAAAACTTTTATTTTTGATTCTCGCTAATGAATGAGGTTGCATGTTTTGGACTCACCTAAAATGAGACCTGTGGATCTCGGGTTTGGTGTTGCATTGTACCTAAATGAGGGGGAAGGCTCCTGGCACTGCTGTAGCTGTAACCCAGAATGACTGTCCTGTTTTACCTTTCCAAGTGGATTAATAGCATGCCCTCCATCCACTGTATTCCAGTCCCCAAGTTAATTGTTCAAAGACATTGTTGTAGATTTATTCTCTGACTCCAGCCACTCAGAAATGGAAAGATGTGGCTCCTATTCAATACCAATGTGATGACCAAATCTAATAGATAATGTTTTATGTTAAGAAAATGAAAATCAAAGAGTATATCCTTCTACTATAACATGGAGTGGTTTCAAGAAATCACTCAGAAATTCTAAATTACAGGCAAATGGAAACTAACTATATGTTCTTTAATTCAATATTAAAATTTTGCTTTTGCTTGTTGTGTAGAATAGCTTACTCAGATTCGTGGTTTTAATTTCTGTCAATTCCATAATCATTGCATGAGTATTCACCATCACCGAATGCTGGTGCTGGAGCTCCTAATTTTCCTTTCTTTTTTATTTATTATTATTTCTAACTTTTTTGTTTTGTTTTTTAACTTGCAGTGCAAGCTTCACATAAAGCCTGGCAAGCCAAGGATGGTCCCGCATTCACCTGCTTTTGCAGTAATATTGTATCTCTGCCATCTGTGTCCTTTTATTTTATTTTATTTTTTTACCCTTCCCCAGACACCAGTAACTATTAACTCATTTCGCTAAATGTTGTGTGAAAAAATGGTAGAACAAGAGAATAACACCAACAGCTATGTGCAGCTGGACTTTGTTTCTGGAAAGTAAATGATTTGCCTTTTATGCCTGTTCAGAGTGGCAGCAGGAAGCATGCCTGTTGCTTGTATGTTGCTTTGGACCGAGGGACGGAGGGTCAATGGCTCCATGTACGTCTGTCAGGAGAACTTCTCACCGCCTCAGCAGCTGAACTATAACCCCGAATACCCATGACAACAATTTGCCTTTCTTGATTTCTCATCTCCATGGTGGCAGAAGCCCTGCACTCACTCTGCCTCTTTCCACACCTACCCCAACCCAAGGTAGCTTCGTATGTAGGCAGAATGATGGTTCAACTTTTTAGGACTTTTACATTTGCATGGATTTTTCATTACTATAATAACATTATTTGACCTGTGTTGTGGGTCTCATCAGATTGTCCCCTCTTACAGCTTTAAAAATGTTTCTGAACCACCACCACCCTCCCCTCAGATCCTGGCCAAGTTGGACCATAATGAGAAAGCTGATCATGTTCCCTTTTATCAGCACATTGACCCTCTCATAGAGACCTGCAAGGTCAGGTCATGTAACATTGCCTAGTGGGCTGCCCACAGCCTCCCTTTGCTTGTAGTAAGCACTCTTTCATACTCTCTGTGGGCAATAGCTGATTCTAGGACATCAGAATTTCAGATAATACTTTTCAATAATCATGAGACAATTTTCAGAAATATATTAAATAGAAAATTTGTTATAAACTGTATCATTTGCAGCACCAATTCTGAGGGGACCTTGTCAATTCCAGGTAGGCATGGGAAGGAACGTATAACACAAGCCCATGAGTGGAAAAGGTAGAAATTCAACTGCACATCCAGTATCCTTGCATGGGCTCCTTCCCACATTTGGCAATAAAGGGAAGAAGCAATAAAACAGCTGACCTTGCAAATCCAGTTGTCTTGAAGGAATCTCCTCACCTTTTCGCTCACCATGACTAGCTCGACCCAATCTCTGCATCCAAGCATCGTCCCGCCACAGGGATTAGGGCCAATGCACACACCGTGACAGACTACATACCACATTCGTATGGGGGGGGGGGAGGCATGTTTAATCTGCCTTCTCTGTTCCTTTGTGAGGCTTATCCTTTCATCATCTTGATTCCCCCTCTGCTAACAAGATTGTGCCGCCTCCTACCTCTGTAGTCTCCTGCTCCTCACTTGAAAGAATAATACATCTCACGAACTTGCTGCTCACATCTGCACTTCCTTCTGGCCACCATTAGCTGTACTTTTGGTAAACAGTGGAATATGCTGTACCCTACCCCCCCCCCCACATACCTTTTTTTTTTTTTTTTTAATAAGTCTCTAGTTGATTCCAATAAAGTTTTCTTCCCTTCTCATCCTCAACCATGCTTTTCGGGGAAAGAATTTATGATTTTTCATGAATTGATTTGACCTATAATTAGGCAAAGTAAAAATTCAGTTTCAATGAAGGCCAAAGCTAGAAACTGCCAAATAGAAGCAGCAGTGGGGGTATAAAGACAGGTTTAGGAGCCAGTGGACTAATGGTTTTATTTTGCTTTGTTTTTTAATTATTCTAGTCCAACACTAGTACTGGAGCAGCCAAATACTAGATGGCATGCCGATTCTAACCATGGCTGAATTTGCTCATATGCTGTGTGCACCAGACAAAAGCTTGAATATTTGTGTGCTTGTCCCAACCGCTGCTTGTGTAAGCATTTTTGTGCCTTGTAACAGAACATACACTTCTAAAGTCCAAAAATGGTCACTTTAAAATTATCATTTTTAATGCATCACTAAAGCCTTTTCAAAAGTGAGCCTTGCTGTGAAAGGCATCCAGCTGACTTTTTGATTCCAAGATTGTTGATTGGTTATCTCCCCCCCCCCCCCGTGAAAATTTTCACAACAAAATAAACCATATGGAGAGTCAGGGAATAAAAAGTCAAAAGAAAGTTCTAGAAGCTTTTTTTTTTTTTTTAATATGTTGCTTCTGAACTCTTTTTCTGCCCCCACTCCCTGGCCCCGTTTGGTTTGTTGCTGCCCTTCTCTTCTTTCTGTATCTGTGCCTTTTTTCACAGTAGTCCTTGGCTCTGCACGGAATAAATGATACCCTCAAATCTAATTGGATGTGCTTTCGCCTTTGCATGTAAGTACAGTAGTAAGAAAACTTTGGGATCTTTCTGACTTTTTTAAATTAGAGGAACAAATGGGATAGATGGATTTTATTTTTTTCCTTCTTGGACAGAGGTAAGGAGGTAATGGTTTGAGTAGCCTTTGTTTATTTAAAAAAGACAGTAAATATATTTAAAGTAGCCACATTTGTACCTTTTCCACAAGAAATTCAACTTTTCCTTGATAACAGTATGAAAGTCAGAAATTACTCTTCCCAGATTATTCTTCCCAATTATTCTTCCCTACACAGTATTGTGGGCATCACTGGATATTACAGAGGTCCCTTGGTTCTGAGTTTGTAATAGTTAGTATAAAAAACTACCAACTTTCCTTTGCAGAAATCCAAGAGGATAATATTTTTTATGTTAGATTGCCTTTATGCCTGCTTACTTTTTTGATGATCTTGGTTTAATGGTTTTCCCTCCTGCTAACTGCTGGCAGTGAACACTTTTTTTTTTTTTTCAGTCAGAAGCTCTAACTAGCCTCTCCCCATAGTTTCTGCTCAACCTTAATGACCATTGCTTCTGGACTTCAGGTCCCTGTAACAGTTGTATAGAATGTAGAATGTGATGGAAAAGCATTTGTGAGAATTTTCTGGCAGTTAGAGACTATGTTTTCCCAGCCTATTCTCCTTATTGGTCAGAGTTTGTCCAGAAAATGCATCTCAACCAGGGGAGCATTTAATGTCACACCAGGCACAGGTTACTTACTATTTTCCTTCTCTGCTTTGTAATATCACCAGCAATAACACTTATTCTTCATATCTTGTGCACCTCAAATGGATTGAGTTTCTTCACTTTCTTGACATATCCATAAGTGTTTCACATACAGACTGTCGAATTTGGGTTTCAGCTGTTACCAACCCATGTCATACTGTCTCTGTGTAGTCCTTCCAAACCGTCCTTTCAGATCCCTCTGCTTTGCCATTTGCAAGTGTCTGAAATCATCAAGTCTCCGCTTCCAGAAGTCTTGGTTCCATTGACAGGATACATAAGTGATGACTCTTTAGTAGAAATTATGACCTACAAAGTCTAGATTGTACGTAGGTATGAAGGGAATTTTCTAAATAAAAGCTGTGAACAGCATTAGAACTTTGTCTATT